TCCCTACAAATGTGCCCTGAGAGGCTATGGTAAGAGGTTATGTCTTTGACTTCTAGTCGAGCTTTTGTTGGTTTAAAAATACAGCTGTTTTTAAATAGGGAATATATAGCTTTCATAGTTGGCAACCAGTAATAAATATCAAAAAGTTTTTTTAGGGCTTCCCTGGTGGCGCAGTGGTTGAGAGTCCGCCTGCCGATGCAGGGGACACGGGTTCGTGCCCCGGTCCGGGAAGATCCCACATGCCGAGCGGTGGCTGGGCCCGTGAGCCATGGCCGCTGAGCCTGCGGGTCCGGAGCCAGGGCTCCGCAACGGGAGAGGCCACAGCAGTGAGAGGCCCGCGTACCGCAAAAAAAGTTTTTTTTAATAGGAAGAAATAGAGAAAATTACAGAGGTTTAAGTAAAGACAAATACAATTATGGCAGAGTTATTTAAAAGAGCAATGAAATGGGAAATAAATATTTGGTAAAGATTAGACAAATTTTAGCATATTCATAAATGTGAAACAGATATTTTAATTTTTGCAGACGACTGTCTGCACGAGAAAATATTTACAATATATTAAGTGAAAAGTTATAGCAAAATAATCTTTACAGGACTATCCCAGATTATGTACATTGTGGAAGCAATGTACATAAGAAAAAGAAATGCAGGAAGGGGGAAAAAAGGTCTGGAACACCACGTACACTAAAATGTAGATAAATCGTGGTATTCACTAAGTGGTAGAATTACAGGCGACTTCTAGTTTGTCGTTCTGAGTTTTTTCGGTGATCTACTGTAAACCTAATTTATTTATTCATTAAAATTTTACATTTTTAAAAGCAAAAACCAGAGAACAAAATTTGATGAGGCACGGTTAAAATTTTATCCTTCAATAAACTGAAACAATTTCATTTTTCATCCAAATTGGAAGTACCAATACAAGGTTAATGTCCATGACCGAAGCCAAATTTCCAGTCAATTACAGTTCCGAAAAATACATAAATGAATCAACACTACAAAAAAATAATTAGATGAAAATGAGGAAAAGACCAGTACTGCTACAACCAGTATTGCTAACTACCTGTTCAGAATTTTCAAACTTCTTTCCTTTTGCCCCAAGTTGGGGAGGAAATTATTTGAAATATGTGTAGCTACCAAAAAAGGATGTGTATGCGTGTCCGTGAGGACGGTGAGGGTTGCGTTCAGAGAGCTCGAAAGGCCACGGTCAGGGCCTTTTCCATCTCCCCACCCCCAATCACAACAGCCCCCTTATCTTCTGAACTTTCAAAGGAATGGCTTCCCCCTATTTCACCAGCGAAGTCTGCTCTGTCTTACTCGGCATAGAGATCAAGGAAAACGAAGACTCCTTATTTCTGTTACTGGAGGCAACTTCTCAGTAGCATTTTAAGAGAAAAATAAAGCTAGTTACACATACCCTCCTTCCCTCCCACCATCACCATCACCACCGCAGGCCTAATCAAAGTGGAAACAAATTGGCCATGGAATTTTCCGCAGGAGTCGTTCTCTTTCTCCCCGACTCCAATGCAAGCCTTAGCAAGTGGGGCAAAGTGAAGGGAGAACTAAGAACTTTCTACGAGGTTGTCTAAGAGCCAGCGCCCCAGTCAGGGACGGGAAAGAGAAGGAAGATGCGCGACGACTAGGGAAGAGCCGGCTGGGGCAGAGCTGTCCGCGAGCGCAAACCTGGGCGCAGGGCCGCCGGCGGCGGGCGGGGAAAATGCTCTCCTGCTCACAATTCAGCACCTACGATGGCCCAGGCCCTAGGCGAGGCGCTTTCGTGCGTATCAATTTTTATTTAATAAGCTTCCAGCTCGCACTGCCACTTCCCCTTCAGGAAATTCGCTCCCTTTCCCCGTGCTTTAGAAAATCTACAGGTGATGGATACAGGGGGGGGACGCAGCCCAACAGCTGGAGGGCTCCAGATCTCTCTGCAGCCCCTAAGGAAAGCGTTTCGAAGCCCCTTCCTCACCGGGGATGCCACGGCCCAGGCTCTTGGCTGCCGAGTCCTGGACAGGTCTTGAGTCTATTTACTCAAGAGCATTTACCCAACTTCTCCGCGGCCGGCACTGCCTTCCGCGCACCCTGCCGAGCCCGCAGACCAGGGTCCATCTTCCCACCCATTCCTCTGCTTCCTCGTGAAGTTGGGGGGCGCTTTGGGCCCTGTATTAAGACAAGGGGTAAGCTTTGCCGACTTTCGCCAGGCACTTTTCTAAGCGCTGTTAACTACATATTAACTCATTAAAACACATTTTGCACATCCCCATTTTGCAGATGAGGAAACTGAAGTGAAATCACTTGCGCAAGATCAAGATTCGAACCCAGTAAATCTAGTCCGTATCCAGAAGCCGCGCTGGAAAGGCACCCTACTTCCAAAGTCTCCAAGAATTTCGAGGTGATTTCCCGGCCCCCCTCCCCCCCGCCCCCCCACCATCCCCATCCCTATCCCCAATCTCAGGCTTCTGCTGCCGGGGTTGGCTTTGGCCCACGAAGGGAAGGCGGGAACCGGGGCGCCCGCGCGATCTGTGCGCGAGGCACCTGTCCTCCTCAGGCTTGGACGCCGGGAGAGGCCCCCCGGGCCAGCGCCTGCGACTCACCGTCCTTCCGGAGCGACGCGGGGCCTGGGGGCGCCCGCAGAGGCAGCGCCAGCGTCTTGGAGACCGCCCTGCGGAGGTACATCGCGCCCGGCTCTCTGCACGCCGCTGCCGCTGTAGCCCGCGGTGCTGCGGGGCGCGGGGAGCCCGGGCGAGCCCCGCCCCAGGGAGGGGCGCTGACCCCTGCCCGCCCCGCCCCGCCCCCGCGGCCCCGTGGGGGACGTGCGCAGGGGTTGGTCGTACGCACCGTCCTCCCTCAACCCAATCTGCAGGCTCTGTCGCCTTCGCCTGGGCACGAGAAGCTGATGGTGGCATCTCGGAAAAGGGATGGAGAACCGAGAAGTCGCCGTCATCTGCCTGCCCTGTACTGTTCCAGTCAGTAGGACTCCTCAGAGCGGGCTGAGATGTCTCGGGACTCGCATCCGGAATAAGACACAGACAGGATTTATCATGCCGTGTGCAAGCTGAACCCACCTTCTCTCACGCAGTCCGCTAGCTTTCCTAGGAGTGGAAAGGGTAGCTGGAAGTTCCCTGGAGATGGAGGAGAGAGGGGTAGCCTCAGCCTCCCATTAGTGCTCTGGGTGATGTTCAGAATCCTAAGAAAATTCCCGCTTAATGGCTGAATTTCTAGGCAATTCACGATTACAATGACTTTTAAATATAAACTCCAAAAATGCTGCATATTCCTCTATGGGATGTGAAGCTAGTATTTCCAAATAAACTAAAAACACTGAATTCTTAGTTTCTCCCTCCAGATTTCAATCACTTGCCTCATTGTGGCGACAAGAATCTGTCATGGTTTGAATATGGAAACCAATAATTTATGCTTATAACATTTTCTAAGTGATTAATCTTTGGAAGGCACCATTTCCTACTATTATAACACCTTAAGTATGTTTGGCACGTGACAGTTTATAAAGCACTTTCACATAATTTTCTCCTTTTTTATTTCATCCCTCTGAGGAAGGTGGCAATTACTCTGTTTAGCAAACGACCAGGTGGTGGGGAGGAATTTTCAGGGACCGATGGTTATGATTTTTTTTTTTTAAAGGACACGAACATAGTCCTTCTAGTTCCAAGTTCTCTTGGCATGTTACAGGCAAACTACTTGCTCATTTGCTAGGTGAATGACTAAACACTCCTCAGAGGTTCTCGTTCTGAACCCAATTCTAATAATATTTAATATATTCTCATTTAAGGAGTACAAGCCAATGATCAGAACTAGTTTTTTTTTTTTTTTTTTTTTT